AGATTACAAGCAGCTTTTGGGATGGAAGCAAAGATCCTTCCGGTGCCTCACTCCCCGCTTCCGCTCCCTCCTCAACCCTTCTCTTGCCAAGTCCCTGTGGTGAAGGAGATCAGCAAAGCACTCAAAGGTCTTCTGGTATTGTCCCCAGTGCTATGGAAAACAAGAAGAAAACATAGCTTTTTCACCTTCTTTTCATCCCTTGTGACCTATTACTCTTCTGGTCTTCGCTGGCTCCCCTAATCTTTTTGTCTCTCCCCATTCCTATTTAGCCCCTTTTCCTCTTCTCAACCCATCCCCCCAGCATATGGTATCGAAGATCGCTTAACGACAAGGCCCTCCCCTGTCCCTACTGCTTGAGCTCACCCCCAGCCCACGGAGGCATCAGCCTCCCTCGTGCCATTGCCAGGAGCCAGCTGTGGTGGACCCCAATGCCATGAGCCGTGGCTGTGAACGCAGGGTGGGACAACATTTCCTTCCCAAGGGGAAAGCCAACTGGACAAGGCTGAGACTGGCTCTCCTTTTGGGGGAGATAGGTGGGACACACTGTTTCACCAGCCTGGGCACTGAGGAAATACCAGGGGTTTTTTTTGGGTGCGCTTCTTTTCCCATTGTCCCCAAAATCCAGATGAGGAACTATCACCCTGACACCAAGTGCCGACTGCTGCCACTGCAGGAAGAGATCAGTAACCCCCATCAGCAATCACACCACTACATCACCGGAGCAGAAGACAAGTGGCATGACTTCACACATGAGAAATAAATAAGCTTTGAGGCTTAAATGAACTGAGTTTGCTGGAGGGGTTATCTCATATTTCAACAGCAGCCAGAAAGCCAACTACCTGCTCAAGACCACCAGTAGTTGTCCTGGCTCAGCCTTCCTTCTGTCGTGGGTAACAAATGACTTAAACAGCCATGGGATCCCTCACCCTCCGCTTTTTGGATTTGGAGGAAGCCCGGCTTGAATCAGGTGCCTCCCTCAGTAACACAGGTAAAAATAAAATTATGTTCGAACAGAGAGCAGCCCTGAAGTTTGCCTGGTGTTACATTTTTGATTTAAAATTCAACCCAGCATGTCAATGCCCTGCTCCTGCTAGCAACAAAGAAAGAAGCTACTGAATGACAAAAGTAACTAAAAGTTTGAAGAACATTTTAGTCCCCACAAAATGAAATCACTGAAGGAATTCGCACAATTTCCCACAGTCTGGTTACTGAATTACTAAACCAGTTTCTCACAACCACTTACAAAGCAAAATTATAATCAACTGTAGGATCTGGTATTATGAGTACTCAAGAATGAGCTTTACAAAATAGCAGCTAAAAGGTTTGCAGATCTGGTTCACATATGTGGCCCAGATATAATCAGCTCCTTCTCGTTCCCTCTTTTAAAGCATGCTCACAGCATCTGACTCGTGATGAAGAGAGGTCCAAAGACCTAAAAAGTTCTGAGTGTCTCTTAAAAATTCCAGAGAGGCTGAATCAAATTTGTTTTATCAAGAACACCTTTCTCTCCATGCATCAAATTTTCATTTCTGCTACCTTTTCAAGTAGTAAGAAAAAAAAGACAAAAAAAAGACAACCAAGACTGTGGATGTCTAAGCCTTTGGAAGAGACTTTAAATGTTTCAATTTACAGAATAGCTTCATGCCGAGAGCAATTTGTTTTTAAAATCTTTGTACCTTCATGTTTCTAAGGATGCTGGAGGGAAAAACCACAACCTGTTCTCCAAGGTCTCTTCCACTGACTTCACATTGTCTCCTCCTTGTCTTACCGTCTCTCTCGAGGTTTTGCTATTCCTCCGTATTTTGATACATAAGCAAGGTGAACACACTGAGCTATCCCAAATGCACACCCACAAGGTGAAAGTTATCTCCCTTCTTTGTATTTGGTGCTGCCCACACAGAGCCCAAAGACTGCTTGTTCCCTTTGTCTTGGCCATGGCCCCACCACCAAAGAAGCGTTCTCCTCCTCCCACAGGCAGGACCCACGGACTTTGGGAGGCCAGCAAGCAGCAGTACCGCTGCGTGAGGGCTCTTGGTGTCCACAGGTTATTTGCATCAGCTGAGCTGGAACCCGAGCAAGCCCCAAGTCATATACAGAAGTGGCCATCTTCACCCCTTTAGCTCCCCAGATTTTGGAGGAAGATCAGCTCAGGACTTTGGAGTAGGCTGGCAGTCTTGCAGTGGGCCCCAATCTGATCACAGACCACTATGTAAGCAGTAGCCAGGGAAAAAAAATAAAACAACTTGCAACCTTTTCCAAGGTCATTATGAAGGGGGACAGAGACACGGTGAGAAACAGGAAAACAGCTTTCTTCCCACTTGGGGTACTCTCTATTTTAGTAGCAACGTGTCAGCGTAAACCAGCACACATGCTCGCAGCAAGGCTGTAAAACTTGTTACAGCATTTCAAAGCAACCCCGGGTAACCATGTTCATAGATAGTGGTTTATGCATATGCAGTCACCGCACAACACCACCCCTACCTACATCTGCAGACATGTTATGCTCACTGCTCCCTCTTCTCTCAGCACCTCCTGACCCGGCAGTGTACGGATACGCAGGTGAAAAGGGAACAGACACCTCTGCCCCAGCGGATTATCTGTCAGTACCGGAAAGGACTGTAACCCAAACCCACGACCTTCCCACTCCAACATAAACTCAGGAGCAGTGCTGAAAGGCAAATCAAAGTGCTGCGCTTGGCCGACTCCCAACACACCTTCCCTTCCTGCATGCTGCCGTGAGACATCCCGTCCTGCTGAGGGGTCCCCTTCCCCTCATACCCACCCTGAGCTCTGGGGCCTCGTGGAAGCCCTCAAGTCCAACCCCTCCCTGCACCTCTCGTGAGTTCAGATCTGAGGCTGCGACAGCAAAGCGTGTATAGCAGCAGGAGAAGCTGTGTTGGGGCTTAAAGCCCTGCCCACCTCCGTAGCCAGATGTTTTCATTGAACTATTAATTCAGCTGACAATATTGTATGGTGAGGTGTTGCTAGTGCTTCACGCGAGGCTTTGGAGCCAGTTGCCTAAGGTGACAAGTCCCTTTCTTAATCCATCTGTTATACCCTGACTGCGTGCGGCCCCTTTGCCCCATACCTCCCCACTGAATTCCCCAAAGCTGATATTTTCTGACAATCCATAACTGTGAGGCCTGGTCCCGTCGCCTACTGGGGGTCAGTCGATCTTCTTACGTATTAAGCCACACTTCGGCCACCAGATACTCAACCCCAGTGGTCACTGCTGTGCTGTCTCGGGGTAGTGACAGCCTTATGCCCTTACGGTCAGGAAGGGCACTGCAGGAAAGGCATCTCCTTCTCAAGTGACCCTAGTCTGTCCCTCAGGCAGGTACTTACCTCTTGTTCAGCGTGCCGCTCTGTACTTCCAAGCCTTGTTTTCCAGTGAAAGCCTCCATCCCCTTTCTGTCAGAGGTTTGGGTTGGTAACACTTAACCAGCTGTTGCACCCGAGGCTCCACCACACCTCAAAGACCCTTACAACTTCAGTGAAAGACTTGGCCAAACCAGAACAGCACCCTCAGCTCTAATTTCTGCTGAGCTACGCACCACAGCCCCTTATGATTCAGATAGCCGAGCTCTGGGCAAAGGCCAAGGGAACTAGTCCCTCTAGCAAAGCCTGTTCCTTCCATCGGCTCCCACAACCCACGGCAGGAGAGAAAGCGCCACGAATGGCAGCAGTTGGGTGTTGATCTGGTATCAGCGCTAAGCCACAAATGACACGGTGCACGCTGAACTTGTACGCAAAGACACAGATCTCGAAGCCAAGAGCCTAGGACGAGGCCGCCAAGCCCATTACCTTGGTTGTGCCAAATTCCTGCTTCTTACACCTTCCCGCGACACACCTGCGGCCGACTCCCACAGGGCCTTTGCCTAACGCAGCTCCAGCCCGGCAAGTCAGGCCTTCCCCCGCGGGGCAGCGACGGCTGCGCAGCCATCACAGGCTCTGCAGGGCAGCGGCACTCTCGTTTCCTTTTCCCCTGCCCGTCTCCAGGAGCTGCGCTCCCAACAGCCCGGGGCTGGGCACCGCCAAAGCACCGGCAGGATGAGGGGGACGGATCACAAGTGAAGAGATCAAGGGAGGGCAGGAGGCAGGACGGAGCACACCCCCATCCCACCCTTCCTGCTTCCTCTCGGGCCTCAGTTCTGTGCTTCGTGGCCTCAATACCTCCACCTCCCCCCCGGACAGAGAATTACCCACGTGGCTGCTTCTCTCCACCAGCGTTCAGATGTGCGCGGCTTATCTCCACAACCGCTGCACATTTTTCATTGCAACAGCAGCATCCTGTGGATTTTTCCAGCGGTCGAAGGCACGCAGGAGATGTGCTGGGCAGGGCCCAGCTGCGCAGGCAGGCACTCCCCATGAAAGGGGGCTTTCCTGAAAAACGGGTACCGAAGACTGTCTAGGCAAGAAGGCTGCTCTCGTGTTTCCTTGGGCATGGCCCCTTGGTCCTTCCGAGCTCTTGGCATGCCAGTGATGGAAACTGGAGGTGGGGAAAGCCGCACCCACCGCTGCTGTTGAGGCGAGATCACCGCACATTGTTTTAGCAGAGCACAGGCTCCCATCCACACAAACAAGGAGCACTGGCTTTTCCACCTCTCGCCACTCCTCCTCCTCCCCAGGTCCAAATAAGGAACTTCTCAATGAATCCTGTGCTTCATAATTTGTGTGCAAACTATGGGAAGACAGGAGGCAGAAAAACCTGTTCCCACTCTAGTCCTGCTCCCCCCCCCCCAGCTGCATTTGCTCCCCATCATTTGAGATTTCAAGGCGTTCAAAGCAGTCACCTACAAGTCTTTCTTCAGGAGTGATAAATGAGTTTGCATTTTACTGTGGCAGGGCAGATCAGAAAGGTCTAGAATGAGGGTGACAAAAAGACAGCCTCAAAAAGGTTAAACCCCATGTTTGCAGGGCCCCTCCCTGCCACAGCTAAGGAATGCTTGAAGGACAGAAAAGCTTTCTTTTTTGTCTGAAAGGATAAGAGGAAGGAGTGGTACTATCGAATCTGGTTTCAGTTTATTTCCAGAATTTTACTGTACAAAATATGCAAAGTGTAAAACGGTTTTATGTTTCAGTTTAAAAACAACAAAACCCCATCCAGCTATAACTTAAGAGAACCCAGCTTGGAACAGAACAATTTACTAGGCTAGACCCACAGTGCATTAATGTCACAGACACCAGGAATTTGCTTACTGAAGTTCACGATTAGAAAAGAACAGAAAGACCATGTACCATTGCAGTTAAAGTCACATGTGCAAAGAAGGGAAAAAAGAAACAAAATAAAAAAAAAAAGAAATGCTGGTTAGTGTCTATTATTTAGAAAATCTTGGCAAAACCCATCTTACTATACACAGTTTGTGTAGAAAAAGGTTATTACACAGTGATCAAAAGAGAGTGAGGGAAGGGCATTCGCTCCCATCCCCTTCCCCAAGACACAATAATGCTGAATCAAAGAAACAGGCACAGAAGAGTGTAAGATTCCTTCACAGTTATATCTGTGCAGGTAGCGAGCCACAGCATCCCCCCGTGCACGCAGGAGATACCCCCAAGCATGGTAGAGCTGGTGAGAGGTGCCTGGGAAGCAGCCAGAGGGAAGGATTCCCTCTCTGGGCAGGGCACATGTAGGGCAGGGCTGGCTGCCCGCAAGGCTCTGGTACATTACGGGGATAAAAACCACGGAGTCTCTTGGAGGGATGCAGAGGGGCAGCTGACACCAGCTGTACCGCTGGCGGGGCGGGGACCCAGCTCAGGAGCGCCCCAAAGCAATCCACCCGGGTCACAGAGCAGCTGTCGCGAACGGCAACTTTTGGTCATCATCTATCGCAGGAGGATTCACGTTCCTGTAGGAGACTTCATGGCCCACAGCCATCTCCTTTCAGAGAACAGAAATCTGGGTTTTTTTGAGGGGAGGGGGGTTGCTTTTTTTTTTAAAAAAAACAAAACAAAACAACAAAAAAAAAAACAAACCCAAAACTAACCCCAAATGAACAGCTTAATCCCAAGAGAGCTTCCTTCTTAACACAGTTTAAACACTGAACCATCAAGCCTGGCTTGAGGCTTTAGACATGTGTAACACACACACCTATAAGGGAAAAAAAAAGCACATAGACACACACAAGCTGAATGAGAAAACAGACGTCTGCACACACCCCTCACACAGCTCTTGTACGGCAGAGCAGAAATGAGCACAACTGAAGAGCTGAGCCTGGGTCCAGGCTACAGCATTTTTTGCTGAAGACTTTTGTTTTACCTTTGAATAGGGCAGATTTCCAAGTTTTGGTAAGCAAGATGAAATTGGCTTGAATAGGTTTCCACGTTTAGTCAGGTATGGACCTTTCCAGTTTCTTCAGCAGCAAGCGTTGGAAACAAGCACATCTCAAACAAGACTTTTAAAAGTTACTTATGCAGGGTCGGCTTCAGAAACTGGTTCCTGCAGTTTCTGGCACACTTGGCAACAGCAGATTCCCGAGGCTTTGCGTGGAGATCCTCATCCCAAAGGAAAGGGTTAAGAGGTTCCACGAGGGTTGGGATTTGTTCAGATCTCCCCCAAACTTGGACCTTATTGTGAGCTGCTCCGGAGCTCCACACTGCAACTCTAGCACCTCCCATCCCAGTGGATACTTGTTCTGCTTCACTAGGGAACTTCATGGGGAAAAACACTGGGAGGGGAGGATGGGAGCTGGAGTAGCTGAAGTTGCTGGCAGGAAAATTTTGAGAGGCAGAAGTCAGAGGAATTGCTGGCCATGGCTGAAATCAGATCTGCCTTTCTCTCCAACATCCCCCTCCAGGGCAGATTGCTCTTGAAGGCACTCAGGACCACCCCTGAAGCAGGAGCTGACCCTGGCCTGCGAGCAAGCTGCACCACACCACCTTTTCATGCACGGCACATCCCTCCTCAGCTACCCGGCTACCCACAGCCGTCTGTGGGTGGCAACGTCTCCCCCTCCGCACGGTGAAAACCGGCGGTTGCAAGAAGCCCCCCCTCCACCACCTCCCCAAGCTGACCACAGGGTCTTGGTCAGGGGCTGGTACGTTTTTCAGAGGGGAGTGCTAGAATGATTACACTGCTGAGAGTGCTGCCTGCTCTGTTCCCGTCAGCGGGAAAGGAATCTGAGACCTGGGGCAGCCCCACCGAGCCTACACACGGGTGGCTGCGCCCACATGGCAATGAGGGGCAAGCAGATGTGCTAGCAATCTTTGCCCAGGCCTAGTTACAGGACTGGCAAGGTATTAAGGGTCTAGTATCTACTCCTATGCCACCAGAAGCTGCAAGAAATCTGACTTTTTCACCCTTTAGCCATGCAAGAGAAAGCCAGCCTTCGTGGAAACCCACAGCCATTTCCATCTGCTCTGGAACAGTTGAAAGCCTTAGCCGCATCTGGTTTTGGAAGATCTCAGCATGGGTTTGGATTTAGGCTGTAACAAGTCTGAGAGCAAAAACAAAGCCTTTGAAGTGTATAAGCAGCATACTTGAGAGTCACAGGAAAAACGCCAACGTGGAAAAGAGGAGTGGGGCAACACCACTCCTGGCTAGGCAACGTAGCACCCTTTCAAATGGTTCAGCCTTTAGCAAAGGATGTCCAGTGCAAGGATCTCCTCTGAAGGTGACATTGTCTACTTCACCACAAACAGGGTTGTCTTATAAACCACCTGAATTTAAAAAAAAAAAACCAACAATTCCCATCGAGGTACAAGCATCCAGGCTGGGAGAGAAGAGGGAGAATATGTGCAAGGAGACAGTGCAGGATAGCAGAGGCATTTGGAGGAATACAGCCTGTGCTTGGCTGGCAAACCCTACAAGCCTTATTTATGCTCAGCTCTTGGCAAGCTCTGCAGAAGTAAGGACTGCAGGATTTGGATCAGAGCTTCGTTCCCTGTGATTCAATTCTTACTCATTAGCTGGCTATAAACAGAGTTAAACAAACCAGTCTGCTCTCACCGCTCAGGATTTTCATAAGGAGTCTGAATTCCTATAGATGCCACAGATCCATCTGTGGATCTTAAAGCACTTGACGATAAGTTGAGCTTAGCCTCACAACAGCCCAGTGAGGTAGGTATGACAGTGGTCCCCTGACTTTGCACCAAGAGGGGAAACAAGAGACACCCTGAAAAAAAAGAAAAGTCATAAAAACAACTCTCCAGGGAACACTCAGGAGTCCCAATTCCCCTTTTAGTCTGTCCTCACCCTTAAGCTGGTTGCATCTCTAAAGAGACTGTTTGAGAGGCCAAATCCTCTCCTTCAGATTTCATCAGGCAAAACACTGATGTTGCTGACACAGGGAAAAGCGTGTAACGTAGGAGTCAGCCCCCACTGGCAGTGTCCTTTTCGGCAGCAGGCAGAAAAGGCAGTGCTGAACCACAGCACACAGATGAGGAAGCAGACCCAGAGTGAGCACATGCCGCTTCCGTCTGGATCTCCGTGTGTTCAAGGATTTAACGCAATTAAGACACGAGTTTCCTGAGCAGATACTGTCAGACAACTCCCCCCGTGGGGGGAGGGAAAAGAAAAGGGGAAGAAAATCCTGGGAAAGTAAAGAAGTTTTGCAGAGGTGCCTGTGACAAGGTGCTCTCGCGCACACAGCACACCCAAGCCCCCAGCAAGGTTGTTCTTGTTCTGCCTTCACAGAAAGGAGCCAAATTCAGCCACAGGCAGTAGCCACCACACAGGTTTAAGTGCTCCATGGTCTTCCAACCTACTCCCAGTCTCTTCCACCTTGCTGGTTATGCACATCATAAAAGTCAGATACACGCATCTTTAGGAGAGCCAAGTGTGAAATACTATATGCTCCCCCTTTTTTTAAAAAAAAGTAATAAACCAATTTATTTTTTCAAAATAAAACACTGCAAAGGCCACAGTCAATAATGGAGTCCCCATACAGACTACCAGAAAGCCTGACATAGCAAGAAACCCAAACACTAAGTTCAGAGAAGTGAAAGCTCTAGCTACTTCTCATCCTTTAAGGGATATGGGCCTGATCCTGTCACGTACCACACCATCTAGTTTCTTCACAACCAGGTCTGGCACACTGCATGGGGAAGACAGGATCCGGGTGACTACTACACGCTTGTAAGAAAGGTGCAGGACACTGCACGTGTCACTTGGATGGGGAATCACCACTTTGGACCCTCGCTCAGCAGGGCGCTCTTATGATCCCAAGACGGCTATCTGCAGGTGCTGTCGGACACGCAGCCTCGATGCTCTGAAAGCTGGAAGAGGCTGTATCCCCCAGCCCTGAACCCAGCAGCCTGGCTTAAGACGGCCACTCCCTCCCACCAGCCCGCCCACAGCAGCCACGCCACGAAGGGCTAGCAGAGCCCCACTCTTAGCTGGGCCACCTCGTGCTGGTGGGAGCATGGAGGCAGCCCCACGAGCTGCTGAAGGAGCCCGGGGAAGGCCAAAGGTTCCGGAGGGGCTGTCACAGCCCCCCTCAGACGATGCACCCTGGCAAAGAAAGGCACTGGCTTAAGTACCTTGTTGAACTGGTGCCCTCTGCATTAAGACGTATCGAGGGGCAGGGTCAGATCCTGCCTGATAGAGATATCTGCATGGCAAAAGACTGGGCAGAATGAACAGAGCATTTGCATTCACACATGCAAATCCACTGCCACAGAGCTGAGGGGGGGCAGTCTGGAAGGGACCTGACTGAAGGCAGGTCACTGCCAGCCTCGGAGCTGGCTCGAGAGTCACACGATGTCCTGTGCCAGCAATCAGACTTCAGACACCACTTCAGGCTCATTGTTAAAATGTAAAAACCTTCCAAAACCCCACAGGACTCAGGTGACGCCAAAGCTGCACACGGAAGCTGCACTGATGGGCAAAAGCGGCCTTACAAACAAAACTGCATCTCTTGGGAGCAGATCCCAGCACTGAGCAGAAACTCCCACAGTACAGAAAGACTAAGAAAGGCAGGCAGATTTTCAACATTCAGACAGAGTTTGGTATTTCTTAGCTATAGCTGAAGGCGCACGGTGGGAAAGGACAGGCTGCGTTTCCAAAGCACAGCAGTTCTCTGAAGCAAGTGCAGGTGGAAGAGGTCAGCCCTTCCCTGGCTCCTCTCCTCAAGGAGGGAAGCGCCTGCCTTTCCTCCAGACGCCCTTGAAGCCGGCTACAGAGGGAGGGGCACATTCCTGCCTGCTCCCCCCTTCCCCTCAAAGAGGCTGTCAGACACAGGGAGGGTCTGTGATTTATCTGAGGAGTAGGCCAGCTACTTACCTACCCTGTCCCAGTGCAAATACGCAGCCCTTGCAGGTGCAAAAGGAAGCGGCGGTAAGGCAGAGCCCGAGGGGACCCGTGGCTCGAGAAACACATTCGGAAAGCCAGGCAGAAGGGGACAGAACCTTGGGAGTGTCTGAAAAAGACGCGGGCAAGCAGCAGAAAGGGAAGCAGGTGGGTGGTAACAGGGAGCTGTGTCACATAGAAAAGTTTCCCTAACAAACACTGGTAAAAAAAAAAAATAATAAAAAAAAAAATTGAAGAGCTAGCTGCAAGATGGGGTGATCTAGTTCAAGACAAGCAACTTCACAGAGATACAGAGCGCAAAATCTTCCCACTATGCTCATACAGGTCCAGCACTGACAGAAGAGGGCACATGGAGAGGAGGAAAAGAAAAAAAGTCTTCAGTCTCCAGATTAGGTGGCTCACAGGAGCAGCCCTCTCACACCCACCCTTCGATACCCTCTCCTCCCTGAGCGAGCAGGGACTACCATGCCCCCGTGCAAGCAGGTTTCTGTAGCGGAGAGGTGAGCAACGCGCTCTCAGCAACAGCTACAGGTAGCAAAAGCAGAGGCGCGCGCACGGCAGCGCTCCAACAAAAATAACCGACCTTGCAATTGTGTGGAGAAAGAGCGAGCGTGAGATTTACAGTATGCCTGGAAAGGGGCGGGGGAGGAAGAAAAAAAAAAAAAAAAAAAATAAATCTGTTCTGTCTCCAAGGCTGAGCTAACCGAGCCAAGTCACCCTGTCGCCTCTTAAGATATTTCTTTCTAGATAAGATATCTCAGCTCCCCCCTCCCCTTTCCAAATAAAGTGCAGATGGTCAAATATTACTGGTCCATCATCTGCCAGTTTCAGTCAGCATTGGGGAAATGAAATCCGAAAGCACGATATTGAAAAAAAAAAAAAAAAATCCCCAAACAACCCACCCTCAAAATCCCTTAGACTGAAGTCTCAGACTGTAAGCGGAGGACAAATTTATGAGATTTAGGGTCTATGAACTCTTCTGAGAGTTTGATGAAGGGGATTTTCTTCACATTAACAACAAGGCTGAAGTCCAAGCACTTGAGGACAAACACAACGCCGTCTTGTAACCCGCTTGTGACCGCTTCCTCGCTGACAAGCGTCCACTGCTTGGAGAACCAGCGATCCCTGTCGTACTGGAGGGTTGGGCCTGGGTTGAGGTAACGCTCCAGGAATGCCTGCCAAGAGAGGGACACGCGTTAACGCCGGCCCCACGACTTGCTCTGCATCACTGCTCTCTTCCCATCCCCAGATACAGCTTCGCGAGCATGGGCTTGCCACACTGCAAGCTGTTTCAGCTTCCGCGCTTCAACAGACGTCCTCTCCTCAGTCCCTCCCAGCTTTCCAGACCCCGGGAGCAGACACAACCAACAGGAGATCCTCTTTCAGTCCAGCCCAGCGAGCTTGCAAAGTTACAGCCCCAGCTTCTGCTGTCGGCTCTGGCATCCGGCAGCAGTTCGGTAGAGTAGGGGCCATTTCTCCCCTACCAGCCCCCATAACCCATCCCAAAAATGCAGTCCCAGACAGACAGACAGGAGAGTGGCCCTCACTTCTTCAGGCCAAGCTGAGGTGGTAGGCCGATGTCTCCATGTCTGCAGCCCAACTGAGGCTGCAAAACTGAAAGCTGAACAGACATCACTTGTGTTTTAAAGTCTCCTTTGCAATCTTAATGGCAGCAGGACTCCCCCTTGCATACCTGGGCAAGATCCCCGGTGGATCCCCGTGAGAAGGTGCTAAGCCCCATCTCTTGCTTCCAATTCTGCTCTTAGCATATTAAGTCCTGGGTAAACTCCCAGGAGTAAACTCTGCCATTTCTAACCCTTCTCTAGGTTTGTGGTGTGTTCTTAGAAGGGAATATGGAGAATGGGAGAGGATTATGTGATCTGTCTCCATCACTCAGTCCCTCCCTGTGTCTGCAAGTCAACAGTCACAGTCAGGGTATAAAGCAGCAAACTGACATTTGACCAAGTGGCCCACAAATTAGAAACCGTCAGACAGACAGAGATTCAGGAGATAATTAGAAGCAGTCTGAAATCCAGCACTGCAGAGGGGACAAAAAAAAACAAAAAAACCCCCAAACCAAAACAAAAGTCCTTTACAGGTTGCCACCTGTATCATGCTGCTATCCTGAGCCAGCTGGGAGAATTCCCTGTGACTCGAGGTCACCATCTCAAATACTTCTTTGGTACTCCCTTTACTGAACTGGGTATGGGAACAATTCCCTCATAGGCACTTTCAGATAAAAACAGACAGAAGATGCTGTAGAGGAAACATTACTTCCCTTTAAGACCTGATGCAACCTACAGTGCACTGACCGTACCACAGACAGCAACTATGAAAACCTCCACCCGCCTCCCTTGGCAGTTTTATGTTCTGCATGCACACACAGATGTGCCATCCCCTTCTCCCTCCTTCCTGCACCTACGTTAGAGAAAGCGTTACCTTTGGTGTCATGTTGTTGGTGATGCAGAAGGACAAGTGTTGCAAGATGCTCTCCATGCTGTGGTATTGTTGCTGGCGGGTGGTGCGAAGGTATTTCTGCAGAGCTCTCGCCATGGAGGGGAAGATTGCCTGGGCTGCTTCACGGGGGTCCATCATCTCTCCTGGAGCTTTCTGCTGTTCCTCTGCCTGGAGGCGTTTGATGTGAGTGAAAGCCTCCTCTACTGCAACCACAAGCCTGCAGAAGGAAAATCAGAACATCAAGAGCCATAACAAGAGAGGTAGGATGGGTCTGTGGTTAAGGCAGAGCCTGGGAGTCAGGATTTACAAGCTCCTATTCCCATCTCTGCCACTGAGTCACTGCCTGCCATAAGACAATTTACATAAAATCTTCTCTACTGACAGTTTGAGGAGTAGACAGCAGCTTTTCTTTCCTTGCTCAAGCCATCCAGCAATTGAGGGTCATAAACCAGGATTAAGACTTTAAAAGACTGAGTGTCATACTTGGTTCTGCCAACACAGCATAAACAACAGCTACATGACTCAAACAAGACACAGCTGCCCTTGTGTTTAATGCATGTCTTTGAAAACAACGGTTTCAGCATGCAGTACTGCAGCGTGAAGCATAAGGACAGGCAAGCAGTCAGGCAGAGGCTGGCTATAAACTAGCATGACCCAGGACACAGACTGCTCCGAGACTGTTCACAAGCTGCAGTCTGCTCTGATTTACACCAACTGGGTACGGAACTTGTGCTGCCGAATGATTGCTCCGCTCCCCTCCACTGAACAATGACAGGGCTCCCGTCTTTGCTCCTAACTGCAGCTAGAGACATCCTCTGCAGACCATTCCTGTGTTGGCCCAGGTGAGCAAACACCAAGACCACACTGTAAAAAGGCAAACAGACAGATGCCAGATGCCACTTGCAAGTTAGTCCAGTACTAAGGAAGAAGCGAGGGGCTGCACTGCACTTAGTGAGGAAAAAGCAATGATAACGGAAAGGTCACCCAACAAAACTCTTTCGCCCTTCCAGACAGGACTTGTTTCACACTAGATTTCCACTCGAGCCACCAACTCCTGTCCGCGCTGCCCTCAATACCCAAAGCACCTTAATGCCAGTGGAAGCTGCCTCACGACAAGCAGAGGTATAGCATACTGCATTCAGATTATATATGAGGAACAGCATGAGAAGCCCTAACCGCTACCCGTTTTGTTTAATTTGACTTGGGGGAGGTGGGGGGTGGAAATCAGTTTCTAATCTCCTCACGTCTCTTTGCTGCAGCTCTGACCTTCCTCCTTGGAAACATCTGGCCTGATGTTTTAGTGACTGATGGTTTTCCTCTGTCTAAGCAGCTGTTCTAACCAAACTCATCAAGCAAGGGAGATGTGCCCGAGTTAGGATGCTACACTGCACGGAAAGGAAAGTTTAAGTTCCTATTGTTCCAATGCTGGAAGAGAGCCCAAAAGACATTGGCCATTGAGCACACGTCAGACCGAAGCAGGCTAGCGGCAGGGTGGGGACACTGTGCCAGCACTTTCCCAATTAAATATAAACTGCCAAAAGAAAACACAAAACAAGCCAGCTCCTTCCAGTTATGGCACATTCCTTCCAAACACAGCTCAGTTCAGGGGTGCCTGTCCGTAAGCAATTTGCCTCAAACTGTTAGGTATGTTAACTACAAACTGTAATTAGGCTCCAGAGCAAATAGAGGCACTATCTTGGGTCACCTCAACAAAGCATCAACTCTGCAGCCTAAGTGTGACTGGCAGAAAACATATCCGTGTCCCAAAATAAAATGTAGCTGCTTCTGGTCACATCTTTCCTCCCCAACGCAACTGCCCTGAAAAGGGCAATCAAACTGCCCTTTTTTTAGTAAAAACTGTTGCAGACTACTGTCTGCAAACCCAAATATTCTCCTCCTCCATGAACAGGCAATACTAAGTGCTCCACCGATCCTGTCCCTGGATTACTTGAGCTGAGACAACAAGCCTGGGCACGGGGGAAAATAATGGGATTTCCTACAGCAAGTAACTACAGATTTGTCAAGCACTGGACTGTTCCCTAACCCATGACATCGCATTAGCTTATCTGCACGATATACACGAGCTCTGCTTTATGCATGTTCTTCAGATAATTCCAGTTGCAAGCTGTCACCCATCCCTTACGCATCTGGGTTTCATACGCTTCTTCGCCGTGACGGATTTACAGCCAACCCCCAGCCCTTAATCACAGGTCCTCCCCACCTCGCCAGCCTCGCAGCACCCAGGCAGGGGGACGCCTTTACCTTGCACGGCGTTTTTTTCACTCTGCGCTCGTGGTCGGCCTCTTCATAGTAGAGCTCGTTGTGACTGGAGTCCCTGCGACGGGCCGCGGCTGCGATCATGGCACGGGACTGCCCCGACGCGTTGTTACCTGGGCCTTTGGGAGGCGAGGGCGAGCAAAAAGGAGACGAGGAAGGCAGAGTTACTGCCACAGGACTGGGGCTGGGACAGACCAGCACCTCACAGCACCTGTCACGAGCGCTCTGTGGTTCCAGCCTTCCCAGCCAAAGCTACAAACTCTTCCCCGATCCCCACGAGCTCTAGTAGAAACCCTGCTAAGCAGCGTGGGCTTAGAGAGGGGGGGCTTTGGCATGTGGACGAGGGAAGTTAGTTGGGATGAAGGATCTCACACAACGTAACACAAAGGCAGAGGTGAGGTACACATGCCAAGGATGCAACTTACCACCCATTATATATGTTTTCAGTTTGAAGGCAAGGACAGCTGGAACACACCACATTTCAGCAACAAGACAGTGTGAGGGAACAAGAATTGAGGAGTTGGAAAGAGGAGAAAGACAAATACAAGAACATCATGAGACATGGAGATGAATGAACAAAAGCCAAACTCCAGACTGTTACACGCAGAGAGGGAAAAACAGGATGCAGAGGCAGCAGGGTCACCTTTAGACAAAGCACAGGGTTTTCCAGAAAGGCAGATGCTGCCAGAGCAGCAGTCCTGCAATAGGGTAGGCTGGGGTCTATGTGCATAGCAGCTTCTCGTGGCACTCTGAGCAGCACCTGCCATTACAGCTTCTGTTGTTGTTAACAGATCCTATGCAGCTACAAGAACGGGGAAGCTGCAATCTGCTCTGTAACGCCCAGTCAAGTGACAGTGCTGTCTACTACAAGACCTTAACTAGTGACCTTAAAATACAGGAGTAGGTTCTGCAGCTCCCCCATGAAGCTCACAGCTCTGGCTGTTTGGGCAGAGAGAGGGAAAAAAAGTTGCCCCAGAAGAGTCTATCAACTCTTCTATCTAGATAGAGGATAGAGGTGGGTCTACCCAGAGGGAAAAAGGAGAAGTCTAGGACTGCCTCCAAACCACCAAAAACTGCTTTTCTGACTAACTGCTCTGAAAGCCCACACTCTCAACTGCCAGTGGTTAAGGCAAATCAATTGCGCAGACATGCTTAAAATTGTTCTGCTCATTAGTTCTGCTCCACTTTTAATTTCTTCCTAAAAAGCACAAACCAGATTCCAAGACAGAAGCCTGAAGCTCATCAGTAGGAAAGACAAGCATTCACACAGTCAGCTTCTTAAGAATCTAAACACTTTAGACTTTGTTTGACAGCCCTGAAATGGAGGATATGACTCAAGGGAGACACTAGCTCCCAAATTTGGGTTAGAACCGTAATTTGCCTCATTGACTATGCCTGGCGATGAAAACCCTGGTTTTGAAGGTGAGCCTCCCCACTCTGTATAAGAGAGATTACAGCAAGATGTTTTTCCTTCCTGGCTGCTCCAGCATCAAATACAAAAGCTGCCAACAAATCAGGCTGCCTTAATAGCATTACTGTCTTTTCACATGGAGGGTGTAAGAGACTGTCAGGATGCCAAGGTAAGATGCAGCCAGAACTACACTCTGCTTCGTAAAATGGCCGGGAATCTTCTTAAGGGCATGCCTCTAAGCCTGTGATTTCCACGTTTGCAAAGGCAGCAGCACCGCACAAGAAACAGCCCAGGCAATCGGTACTGCCCCAGAAGGGAAGGGACGAATTTTCAGGCCCTCCCAGGCTCATGACCTTGACTCTTGGAAAGGCCTGTCAGCCACATCTGGCGTTTGATTCTCGTTCCTTCTCTTCCAACAAAGTTTTGTGAGATAGCAGCTCCCTATGCTACTAGACCCTCAGTTTTTCCTCCGAGCTCGGGAGTCCCATGGTCGCAGCAGGTGCTGCAGGAACAGAGACCCTGCCACCTCCTGAAGAGATGTGGCAGCACAGGAGAAGCCAAGCCAGCTAGTAACCAGAATAGCACGTCCTGCAGCCAGCCTGGTGGGCCACTGGGTTTGAATGTTGTGCAGACCGCTGTGGGATCGGGGAAGCCCTCACCTTCCATACACCAGGCCTCACTGAGAGTGAGCAGCAGCTGGAACAAGAGATTTCACCACTAGAAAAGTGCGGAGCAAGTCTGTTTGCTTCCCCTCTCCAACTCATCTTGTTTTCTCCCGCCCGAGAGCTTCTTCACTCCAGGCAGCAGGGGACACAATAGGCAAGCCTGCCCCTCTCCCTCCCGCCTGCTTCCCGCTCCCCCCCTTCCTCTGTCAGGATAGGGACATCTCACTAAGAATCTAAACTTCCAATTAATTCGATGGACTCAAGAGTGCTACATCAGGTTTGGGGAAACATTAAGAATAAGGTCTTTGAAACTTCTGAAGTCATCAAAAATGAAAAATTTTTAAAAAATAACACCCCCCCCCCCAATAAGGCAGTGAAACTTTGTTGAGGGCAAAACAATCATGTCTCATGTTTTCCCCTGTGACATATATTCTTCATGTTTTGGTCTCCACACCTTGCAGACAGAGCCACCTTGCCTTGCTAAGGTCCTTTCTCCCTTCCAGCTCTCAAAGCCTTTCAGTACCAACTGAATTCATGGTTAGTCTGTGCCTTACCACACCTTGTCACAGGACTTCAGTCGTCCTTCAGCATAAAAGCTTCCCTGCACAACTTCAGCTCTTCCATCAAAGGAATGCGCACTTTTATAGAGGCTGTGACGGCTGGGCTTACCCTGCTTATCAAGCCTAGCTTTCACTGATAGGGGTTTAGAGTGTCAAATGATTAAGTGCAGTTTTCATTGCTTTGAGTGTCCGCAGGGATCCACCCATCCATCCTCCCACCGGCCTCTTTAAAGCCCAAAAGTTTGAAACAGGTTTGTAGAATGGCAAAGCCCAAGGAGCATAGTTATCTGTCTCTGAATTTCCATGAACTGCTTAGCATCAGGGTGACTTGGGAGCACGGCCACGCATGAGCTGGGCATAGTTCCTTTAGTGCTAAGACTGCAGGCTGGCAAGTGTTGCTTTCACTAGCAACTGCTGCTTGCACAGTCACTGCTTCTCACACGGGTATCAACCTCCTTCCCTTTCCTGAAGGCTGCCTGTGGAAGCAGCACAATAAGTGACTGGGGAACTCAATTAGGTTAAAAGTTGTGTTTATTGTACTATCACAATCAAGGAGATGAACCAAGGGTGACAAAAAGCAGAGGCTGCCTAGAACAAGCAAGCAGTGGTGCTGAAAAGCACTTGTCAAGCCACGTAATAATTAAGCCTGACCCAAAACTTGGCCATTTCGCCTGGCAAAGTCAAAAGCCTTCTTGTGGGCTAAACACATCTGTAAAGTCATCTGGAACCGGCAAACTCAGCCCTGTTAGGAAGATTTCCAGCAAGAGGCAAGGATTTGGCAAAGCAAAAAGGTGAGAATGTGTGCATAACAAAGCATAAAGTCAACCCAGCCCTTCCCCATCCCACCCAGTCTCAGAGACTACATTTTACCTCACCTACCATCAACATTGTAGACTTTCAGGCCAGCCATGTGCTTGGCTGCACGGGATTTGGAGGCTGTTAACAAGGCTGGGTTGTAGACTGTGAAATCTTTGTAGTAATTTTCCAGAACCACCAGTGCAGCTCTCTGGATGCTAGGGAAAAAAGAAAAGAAAAGAAAAAAAAACAAAAAACAAAAAACAAGACAAACCCCTCAAAAATGCAACAAGTTATTTTCTTTCAAAAAAAAAAAGTAGCCGCCACATTATTTGGAACAAGGTTTTCACACCCACAGAATTGTGCAATACACAGAATATTAATTACTCTCTCTAGGACCTGAAATTTCATTTGAGATGCAAGGTACATGTCTCTGCCCTCACCTCTGTAGGAGGATGACAGGAAATCCTTAAACAAGGGCAGCACATAAACTGAAGCACTAGGCTGCCTGCCTGCAGTGTGGGAAAACACAGAACAAGAGCTCAGCCCGCCTCAGCAGCACGACAGCTGTGACGCAGAGACCTTGCCCAGGCTGAAGATCGGAGCACCACGCTGGTTTTGCTGTGGCTGGCTGGCCTAGGTGGAGGGATCAGCTCGGGAGGGATGCTTTTCCCTTTGAGTCATTGCCAGACGCACCTCCCAGCTCCTCAGATCTCCTGCATCCCAGCTCTGACAAGAGCCCACCTCTTCAGCTTTCACAGCAAGATAAGATCACTGCCTCGGGAGTGTGGCTGCCAGAGAAGGGATTACCTCAGGATTGCCTGTTAAACTCCAAGAGAAGGACAGAAGGAGGAGCAGCGACACTCCCTCCATCCCTTTGAAGGGATGCCCCTACAGAAAATGATGACACATGGGAGCAAAACAGGAGACGCACCAGCAGCAGGAAAGGCTCAAACCAGAGGTATCTTCCTTTGCCATCATTTCAACAACACAGAGAGATGTCTGCAGGCACTGCTACCGACAAATAGGACAGTATTTCCAAACAAGCCAGAGCTATGGTGTGTAAAAATGCCAACACACACGTGGGATCTAGGACACAGCGCGCTCTCCCCGTTGCTCTGGCTCCATGCCCCAGCGTGGTGTCCGGCTGGCAGCAGCATTCGCAGCAAATCACCAAGATCACCCATTCAGGCAGGTGGAGTTTGCCAAGAAGCCACACTTAATTTCATTTTGAACCCACAAAAATTAGAAAGGAGCTGCCAACACATTTGTTGCCAGTTAATTGTAAAGTTTACACTTACCAACAAAGCCTCTCCTAAGGAAAGCAACCATGTATTCTCACACGTTACAACACAGGAGGAAGGCATTAGAAGGATGGTAACGTGGGAAAATAAGACACCAACAAATTAAGACCTAAATTCAATTTTCAGCGCTACCACTGATTCAACGTGCGCTCCTGGAGAAGCAATTTAAATTCTCCTGGGCCTTGTGCTAATATTAAACTCCTGCATCACACCCCAGTAATTTAAACACTGGCCCCCCGCCATCCTCAGTCTGCAGCTGCCCCCCTCCCACTGATCAGCGAGTGAAGTGTAGATGCCAGCCCGTTCACGGGATCCCGAGAAAGAAGAACAAACCCAGACTTGTTCACTGTGTACCTGCATCAGTCAGTATTACGGTACAGCACCGTGTATTTCATTAGCTGTATACTTTTAAGATGATGAACTTAGCTTTTGAAGCAAATTCCACCTTTAGGTCTGTTTGGTGGGGTCTTTTGCAATCCAGCTAGAGCATCTTAAAGAAGCGTGCCTTTCAGGTGCCAGTCCTTCATATTTCCTTGTATCAGGTTTGTTAAAAGCAACTCCATTTAAGCACTCAGCTGTTGATAAGTAATAAAACCCCCATTATTTAATCAAGGAAATAATTTTCCTTTAATGAAGTAGTGCAGATGACCCACTGCCACATACACATAGACAGCGACACACAACAAGTGAGAGCTGGTTTATTTCTCCCTGCCAAGCTTCTGATTTCAACTGTGAATTTGCTGCAGCTTAAACCCAAAATTTCATAGAAGTCATGCAGCAGCAGTACACATTCCCCCTTCTGACTGCATTCAAACATGACCAAGTTTTTCCATGTCTGCTTCCCAGGAAAGTAAAACTCCACAGAGTTTAATCTCAAAATGCAATCTTTGGAAAACTAGGACCAACTAAAAACAAGAAGATAAAAATAAACAGAGTTATACTCTGCTAATACACTGCACTCATTTCAGGCAGAGTTGGGACTTCCATCCCAGCAGCGGGAAAGGTTTGGGAAGTGCTCCATTGGCCAACTAGCTCTATTAGGACAAAACACAATGCATCACAGGAGAGAATAATTTATTTTAATACATACATATTTTCCCTGGATCCCACAGAGAACGTTATCATCAGGATGCCAGCTTTCCCCACCCAGTACCCCCTCCATTCCCTCACTAAATAACCTACCCCACCAATTCACTGGCACATGCACCCCAAATCCAAACACAATAAAGCTTTTACGATGCAATAAGCAACTATCATTGCCCTAATAATTAAAGCCCAGCTATTTTTTGCTGATGCAAATCCAGTACAGGCTCAGTTCCACAATAAGAGATACCCCAATCACACAGAGAGTCTGCTCTCTAGGGAGAGAACTGTAAATAAACATCAGTTTCCTAAATTTCTACCAGCCCATTTCTGTCTCTCGTGTAGTCAATCCTGAGCATGGCAGGTTAGGACGACGGCTGTACTGCAACTCTTCAAATTCTCTTTTAAAAAACAACAACAATAAAATAAAATTAAAGAGAAGATGCTGCAGACAAGAAAATTAAAAGGGTCACAATAATTAGCAAGAGCAAGGAGAAGGCTGAATCAGACAGAGCCTTCTGGGCTGTGTTGCTCAACCTCTTCAGCCACATCAAGGGGAGGCCTCACCCTGCTCAGCCCAGGACAGCCAGTCCTGCCCCATGCAGGAGCTGCAAAGCAACAAGAACCCCTCTCTGACCAGGCACAGCCGTCCCAAACACGGCCAAAAGGGACCCGACGCCCTCGTACAACTCGGTGTGCAAGGAGGAGGGTAACCGCAACCAAACAAGCATCCAGTGCAGCCCTGAGGAGTGAGCAGGAACAAAGCAAAATGCTAAGGAAGCCTGCTGTCTCCCGGCAGAAATTCAGGTTTTTTTGGGGGACTTTTCACCGCAGGGCAGACACTCTGCTGCCTTGTGAGTAAGGCGAAGCGGCTGCAGCAAGGCTCCTCTCCACCCGCACAGCAGCTCCGATGGGAATGGAAACTGGCAGCCGTCCCTCCCCGAGCCCGCGCTCGGAGGCTGTTTCCGTGCAGCAGCGTCTCAGGAGGAGCTCAGCACCACCCCGGTCACTGCATCCATTCACCCATGCTTCACCAAACGTAGGCTTTCCTTGCGTTTACGATTTTAAAGGAATGGGGAGGGGCAGGAAGAAAATGAACGGAAAGTCTCAATACTTAATTGCCTGTTCGGAGAAGGTCAGAGTGAGGATCCTCCTCTTGTCCTACAAAGAGGATCTGGCAGCCCGCTATACTTCAGGCACTGTAACAAACTACCAGGATACAGAAAAGCGTATCAGGACGCAAAAAGCATTTTCATGCAACACTTCAGACTCAAAACTGATGACATGAGAAAAAACCTCTTGCACGGGACAGCAGCCTCAGTTTTCCTTGTAGGCAGTATCAGTAAGGCTCTACATTTTGGTGCTTTGCATTTTGTGTAGTTGGAGGGGTTGCCTTTTTTTTTTTTTTTTTAAATTATTATTACTACTACCCTGAAGAAGGCCATGTCACAGCATGTTGCCAAGAGGGAAAGCAAACAAGCAGACTCAACAGAAGCACAGGGTACCTCAGTGGCATTTGGCAGAGAAATGCAGAGTCCTTTACAAACAGTAATGAATTAACTTTTACAGGGCATCCAAGGAAGTGGAGGAGGGGACTATGTGACACAAAGGCAGCAACTATCGCCAGTTTTTTTCTCTCAAAAGGTAAGTCAGGAACAGCTTTGCCTGAATACTTGCTGCTATACGGGATTTTGATATTTGAGTTCTTGCCACATTCTAACTCAACGGCCATTTTGGCTTTGTATTTGCCTTCTGTGACATAGCTGCACTAATACTGAAATTGGCTTTTTTAGAAGATTTCCAGGAAAACAAGCCAGTGCTATACTAAAGCAAAGCACAAAGGAAAAAGCCTGTTTATATAATCAAAATACTGGCTTTGGGCCCTGCTGGTTTCTAGAAAAAAAAAAATCAGTTTTGAGTCTTCTGAAATGGTGGGAAAGGGTTAGCGAAAAAGAAAAGAAGAAGAAAAAAAAAAAAAAAAAGATTGACGCCACACCTCTACACCCAAAGTTTCCAGTGGACACACCAGGATCAAATCCAGCAGGCTGCAGTAGCTGCCATTCACATGGTTTTAGCAATTTTGTGCTTTCCTGCTAAGTTAGAAATGTAGCCTGCCATGGTACTATACCAACCATCAGCTAAGACACCAGTAGTCATCAAAAGCAGAGGAGTGCCTCATGCTTTTGGAAAGATATATATATATATATATAATACATCCAGACAGAGCTGAGCTGTTTGCTACCAGAGCACCCACTTCTCTACCTTACTATGGATGCAAATCTTGCAGCATCAGAGTTTAGGGTGAGCCACACACATAAAATCCACAGGGATAGTCAGAGAGGCCTGATCCTTGCTGTGCTAATTGAGGGCTGAGGGCAGAGGAAGCCTGGGGTAATTTAATCAAATGGTTCCCAACACAGACTCCTCCAAACAACATCTTTTAATGTTCTCCAAAACAGACGTAGCACCAAAACAAGCCAAGGTCTCTGGGCACACAAAATACATGCCATAGCCAGTTGGGAAGCTTTGGGACCTCAAAGAGAAGCTGAACAAGGCTTGCACAAAGCAACCTTCCACACAGAGCCAGCTTTGCCTTACTGGCTATCTCCAGTCTACACCTGCATCAAGGTTATCCACTGCAAGAGATGCTGAGGTCTCCTGGAGCACCGAGCTGCTCATCCACAGCACTTCTTACTCGCTAGCAATGCTGTCAGCTCACACCCAACAGGCTTGGAAAACTTCTGCATCTTCCCAGAAGCACCCTACCGCCACATCTCCCCCCAAGAAAACCCTTTACCTACACATATTCTTTTGCCAGGTGCAGAGCTGGG